TTAGATTTCTTCGCCTTCCCCGAGACTACTAGGAGGATTCTTGGCACCTAAATACTTGCAGACTGCCCTTACTTACGTTGCATGTAAATTCAATCCATTCTTATTAAGTCACAGTTTTTGGTGTTTTAACCCTCTTTGCTAGCTGCCCTTCAGCTGGATAGGGATATTCTTAGTTTCGCGAGGTATGTTTTCACAAAATGGGTCCCACTTTTACTCCTTTTGAAACCATCCAATTTGAGACAGATTGTGTTAACCAGCACCTCTGTGTTCATTCTGTCATGGTTTGCTGGTGCTAGGGCTTAGAGAAGCACGGCTGTGGATATATCAGCCTAGCGCTCTCTTCCCTGGGTTACCAGTTGCACGTTAGCCACGTTGGGGAAGCCTGCTGCGCACAGACCGAGACCACAAGGAAGATGCTGTGCAAGGCTCTCTATGCAATCCACTAGTTGGTTCAACCAAAAAAACCTCACCCTTTTTATCCCTAGCAAGGCTAAGATTGTAAATTCTCCAAAAACAGGAACTGTACCTCATCTGCTTTATTCTAGAACATTGAGACACTCTAAAAAAGTGTCTTTCATTCTTTCATCTAAGAAAGAAAATGACACAAGTGGGGCTAAATGCAGGCAGATGAAGGCCCACCTCCATTTCCAACCGGCTCCATCACTTCTTTGGCACTGTTTTCCTATCTGTGCCACCCTACTCGTGGGCCATCACAGCAGCTAATGGGGCAGGCTGGCCTGAGGTGGAATCCCCAATTCTCCCACTTCCAGCTCTGTGATGGCGGGCAAGTTATTTTGCTGCCCTAAGCCTTGGTCTCCTCATTTGCAAAATGGGTATAAACCATTGTACTGCTAGTTCATAAGGTTGTTGAAATAACAAATGTAAAACAGAGCTTGGTGCAAATTAAGCCCCTTAAGAATGGCACATTATGGGGTGACTGTGTGGCTCAGTCGTTAAGCGTCTGCCTTCAGCTCAGGTCATGATCCCAGGGTCCTGGGATCGAGTCCTACATCGGGCTCCCTCCTCGGGGGGAAGCCTGCTTCTCCCTCTCCCACTCCCGCTGCTTGTGTTCCCGCTCTCGCTATCTCTGTCTCTGTCAAATAAATAAATAAAATCTTTAAAAAAAAAAAAAAAAAGAATGGCACATTATTATTCTACTAAATTCTAAGGGGAAAAAGGCACCAATTATCATTACTTAGACAAATCCATGCTCCCTCTGGGAAATAAAGGGAGCCCTCCATGTTCTCAGTGCTACTTCCCAGCCCCGAGGAGTTCCAAACCATGGCTGACCCATTCCCACTTCCCTTGTCCCACCTTTCCACCAAGGCCCTCCGCAGGGGCAAAGGACAGAGGCGCAGGCATATGGGTTTAGAGAAACGTTGTGTTTAATGGTAAAGCTTAGCACACTCCAGCACCAGGCATGGCCTGAAGTCGAAGCAGCAGGGACGGGTAGGTGACCCTCATGGAACCTCACATGGCGAAGAGGATGAGGAAGGCAACCATCAAACAGAAGAGCCCCATGGCCTCAGACAGGGCAAAGCCCAGAATGGCATAGGAGAAGAGCTGCTGCTTGAGAGACGGGTTCCTGCCAGGGACAGAGATCGATGCCAGCCGGGGGAAAGGAAGGGTTGAGGGAATGGATGGTGGAGGACACAGGTAGGTTGTCAGTGGTGGGCATGGGGGGACCGCTGAAAGTGGGAGAGGGCCTAACCTACATTTATCCTGGGGATTTAGACAGGTAAACAGAGTACCAACATGGTAAGTTTAAGTGAGCCAGGTTGGAAACACATTTAAATGATTCAGGGATCACGGGAGAAAACAAGAGGTCAATGAAATCAACCCCAAGCTAGTGGGAGCTCCTGCTGAGGCTTCTCCCAAATGGGGTGGAATTTATGGTAGGAGATACTCTAGGCCACCCCCAAACTTACCTGGCATAGCCAATGATCAAGCTGCCAAACACTGTTCCAATGCCAGCCCCTGAACCAGCCACACCAACTGTGGCAGCCCCAGCGCCAATAAACTTGGCTGCTGTGTCAATGTCCCGGGAGACAACACTGGTCTGGAACTCCCGCCGGGCCACCTGGAGCGGAGAGCTGCTATGGGATGGCTGGAAAGGCAAGTAGGGAAGGAGAGGTAGTGAGGCCTAAGGACAGGTGGCCGACTCCCATTCCCTCGCCCCACCCACCTGGGCTCCGAAACCACTGGCAAATTGCCTGGCAGGTAGAGAATGCTCAGATTGCAGACAAAGCTGGGAATTAGTCCTCGGGCCCATTTTCCGACAGGGCCAGGGAAATTGGGAAATAGGGAAATAGGGAATAGGGAAACCTCACTTTTGCAAACTTCTCACCTACAATGTTCACCTTGGGGTACTTAGAGCTATTAAAGCATGATAGATTCTCTAACTGTCCTCCCACTCTGGCCTACAGGTCACTATCTTGAAGAACCCCTCCCTGGGGAAACGAATTAATTTTTAAGATTTTTATTTTTAAGTAATAAATACACCCGATGTGGGGCTCGAGCTTACAACTCCGTGATCAAGAGTTGCATGCTCTACGGACTGAGCCAGCCAGGTGCCCCTGGGGAAATTTACAGGAGGGCCCACATTCCTTTACCTGTTTAGCTGGGATCTCTGGCCTACTCAAGAGGGAGGCAGACACAGGCCTGATCAGATCCCTGGTACAACAGCGGATCTGTCAAATCAGAAAGATACATTCCTCCAAATCAAGCAAGGGAAACAGGATAAACCTAGATGCTGAACTTCTATCAAAAATGACAAGATTATAAACAGAAAAAAAGCCCATGTGTTTCAAGGTTAATTAATGCATTCCTGTTTCTACCAGATAGGCCTGCACAAGAGACAGCCGTCCAAGACCCAGGTGTAGTTAGCAGTGGCAACTTTCCCATTTAAACCCAGGTACCAAAGTTCATTTCTACGGGCACAGCCCTTACCAGTATCCCAGAATGGAAGAACCCACACTAACATCAAACCGGGTACAGGAAGGGTTTGTACCCAGATCACCCAAAGAATCCAAAGAGGGAAATATTATTTTGTTAGCGTGTACTCACTGGTACACACCCTGAATGGACTGGGCCAGTAAGCCTGGTGAGGCTCCTCGAACAACCATCTAAGCAGAGGCCCCTGTAACCTGGCTTTCTTGAAACATGTCAACATAATGCAGTGATTCTCAAACATGGCTGAACATGGGAATCACCTGGAGAGCTCCAGCCAAGCTTGAGAATGACTACTTCAGTGGGCTGTCTGGCTACGGCCAAGCCAGGCTCGTGTAAAGATCCTATCCCGACTTTGACCACATTCCAAAGCCAAGAAAGCTTCGTTTCCTGGTCTAAATAAACAGGGGGTAACTGCATCACTACAGCCTCCCCAAAGAGCCTGCAGCACCTGGATGCCAAGCTCCTCGGAGTTCATTCATTAAACATCGACAGCTCCCACATCTGGCACTACGGATCACCCCGGAGCCGCAGCTTACCAGAGCCGGAGAGATGAGTAGTGCCCCGGTGGTCTGCATTTTCTCAGTCTGCAGAGGGAAAAAAAGATTCACTCACAGCCCAGTCGTTTGCTTATAGTGGCGACCTTCGGTCGTCCCCTTCACCCCGCCCGCCCTCCCTGGACCACGTTCTTCCTTGCACCGTGCCCCAGCTGAGGAGGGCATTAGAGGTCAGAGGGACAGCGCGAAAGGGTCTGCAAAGGAAGGTCACGGAGATCTTCAGTAGAGGAAGGAGGCCCAAACCCCAGGAAGGAAATGTTGCTGAAGAGTATGGTCTCCAGGGAAGACTTTTGGAGGTAGATACTGGGTCGGTGCCGGGCAGAGTCCTAACCATTTTACACAGCTGTCCCCGGCCCGCCTCGGTGGGGACAGTTAATCGCTCATTACCGTTGGTAATTAACATTAATTGTTAAGGATATAGGCACCCATCGCTTCTCCCGAACCGGAGGACAAATGCCCCTCCACACAGCCCAGCTCACACCCCTGCCCATCGCTGGCTTCCGGCCCCGAGTCACCTGCACTCCCACTGCCCCGCTGCCCCTAATCCGACCACAGCGTTTGCCCAGCTCAAGGTGACTGACTCACCTCCCGGCTTTAGCTCTAGGTCTCAGCGCTCAGCTCCCCCTCCCACGTGTCTCGGGATCCCCCCACTCTCATTGGCCGCAATCCCCTCGAATCCTCATTGGATAACGTCCTCAAGTCCTCCTTTCTTATTGGCTTTCCGTAGCTTCTTCCTCTCTCTCCACAGGAGCTTCGTGGCAGTTCCCGCCTCCATACGGGTGAAGGCGGGGTTTTCCTCCGAGATCTGGCTTCCGATTGGTCGATCCCTGAAATGCTCAACCATAGAGTCGGCGGGGCTCAGAGGTTCCAGAACCTCCCGCACAAAATGGCGGCCAAGGTGGAAGCTGCAGAAAAAGGCGTAGGCGAGATGACCGGACGCCTTACGCAGACAGACACATGACCCTGGCCCTGCGCCTTCATTCGGGCGCTTGGGCCTTCAGGCACGTTGTACGTCGGGATTTGTAGTCGGGTCGAAGGCCCCAAGGACGGCTGAGATCCCGCGAGACGTTCCTCCCGAGGCCGGGAGAGCCAACGCCTTTGCAGCAATTCGCGCCCTCGTGATTCGTGAAAGCCTTCCTTCCGCCTTGGCGAATAAAGGCCGCCCGCTGGCCTTAAAAGTTAACTAGTGGACGAGCGCGGTTTTGTGGTTGTGGACCGGAGTTCAGCAGCCCTGGACTACCAGCCAGATTTTTTTTTTTTTTGTATTGTAAAAAACAAATTCTAAGGATAAAACACTTAATACTCCTGTAGAATAACGAGCAAAGGGTAGGAACAGGCAGTCCGCTAAAGAAATAGAAATTAAAGGAAATAATACCTAACTTCGCTGATCAAAGAATAGAAATTTAAGCGTATCATTTGGCATTTATCAAAAGAGCAGAGTTCTTTTTCTTTCCATTTACCCCCCTTTTCTTTTGGGCAACCTCTATTCCCCTGTGGGGGTGCACTGTTCCTGGAAGTACTGCAATACCAGGTCTATGCGTGAAGTGGATGGAGCCAGGTCCTGTTCTATCTCCTAGTTCCAAAAATCCATTTAATATATTGTCCTCGGGTAGAGGACATAACGGATATTAAACTAATAAGAACCCATACTACACTTGATCTTAGCTAAAAGGCCTAAAAGCGATCAGAATTTTTTTTTTAATTTTATTTATTTGAGAGAGAGAGTGAACATGAGAGGGGGGAGGGTCAGAGGGAGAAGCAGACTCCCCGCTGAGCAGGGAGCCCAACGGGGACTCGATCCAGGGACTCCAGGATCATGACCTGAGCTGAAGGCAGTCGCTTAACCAACTGAGCCACCCAGGCACCCAGAATTCTTTTTATTAGTATCGGCCAGGCACTATCCTATACTATTGCTGGTGAAAGTATGTGTTAGGAAACCTTTCCAGAAAACAATGTGGGTTGGAAGAAAATAAAATATTAATAGTTAATTCTGGGTAGTGTAGTAAGGTTGATTTGTATTTTTATGAGTCTATAATAGAAAAAAATTAAAAATTATACTAATCTGTGGGCGCCTGGGTGGCTCAGTTGGTTAAGCGACTGCCTTCGGCTCAGGTCATGATCCTGGAGTCCTGGGACTGAGTCCCGCATCGGGCTCCCTGCTCTGCAGGGAGTCTGCTTCTCCCTCTGACCCTACCCCCTCTCATGCTCTCTCTCTCTCATTCTCTCTCTCAAATAAATAAATAAAATCTTTAAAAAAAATTATACTAATCTGGAAGGTTAGACCTCTGGACTCTTAGAAAAAATATTTTAAGATGGAGATGTATTTAGCTTGCCAGCCTGGTATAATGGAAGGAGTGTGGAGTTTTGAGATAACACAGACTTGAGTTCCTATCTTGGCTCTGCCATGTAACTGGATATGCATTTCTCTGAGATTACCAAATCTCTCTTGGGTTTAGTGTTATAAGCTACCATTGGGGGCGCCTGGGTGGCTCAGTTGGTTGAGCGACTGCCTTCGGCTCAGGTCACGGTCCCGGGGTCCTGGGATCAAGTCCCGCATCGGGCTCTCTGCTCTGCGGGGAGCCTGCTTCTCCCTCTCCCACTCCCCCTGCTTGTGTTGTCTCTCTCTGTCAAATAAATAAATAAAATCTTAAAAAAAAAAAAAAGCTACCATTGGTTGAGGCCTCATCAAATGGCAAGTATTGTATTAAGTTCCTTCAACTCTTATATGATTTAATCTTAGAACAACCCTTTAAGTAGGTATTATTATCGCCATTTTACAGATTACCTCATTTCACAGAACATCTTTCTCCAGTTTGACATATTTGGTTAAGAGGTAAAGTCAGTATTTGAACCCAGGTGTGTCTGGGTCCAAAGCAGAAGCTATTAACCTAATGGCTATGGAGGTTCTTGGGCCTCCTAAAACTGAGGAACATGTAAAACAGGGTTAATACTACTTGCCTTATAGAAATATGAAATAAATGTGAGGCATAGGTCGGTGGCTGGTGAATGTTCTCTTTCTGTTCCTACTCTAAGAAAAGTTATATTTTCAGGACGCCTGGGTGGCTCAGTTGGTTAAGTGTCTGCCCTGGGCTCAGGTCATGATCCCAGGGTCCTGGGATCGAGCCCCACATCAGACTTCCTGCTTAGCGGGAAGTCTGCTTCTTCGTTTGCCTGCTGCTGCCCCTGCTTGTGCTCTCTCTATCTCTCTGTCAAATAAATAAAATCTTAAAAAAAAAAAAAGTTATATTTTCATGTGGATTATCTTTGTCTACATGTATTAATTTTTTTTTTTTTCACATACAGATTGGTCATATAGCTCTACTCCTAGCATACACTTGAAGTTGTCAAGTTCATCCTGTGACCTACTGGAATTCAAGCCGTTCAATGTGAATTTTGGAGTCAAACTAGCAGGTTTCAAGTCCTAGCGCTGCTGCTTACTAGTATGTGATTTGGGCAAGGTTCTTAATCTCTTCAAGACTCAGTCTTCATCTATAAAAGGGAGATACTCCTTTTACAACAGGATTGTTATAAGGAGTAAATGAGATGGTATATGTGGAGGTGGTCTTTAATTATTGAAATAAAAAGTACTAGTAAACCAGGAGTGGGTGTGAAGTCAAAGGTAGTTGGGAAACCTCCAATCTGGACCTGGCATCTTGGGTCAGACTAAACTATCTTGGAGGAGGCCAAAAAACTGTGGGAACTCAGATAATTGCCTTGTAGGCAGAAATGCTATTGACGAAGGTGGCAAAGAGCAAACTTGTGGATAATAAGCCAGGAGGGGCCCTCTTTCCAAAGGCATTTCTTTTTTTTTTTTTTAAGGTTTTATTTATTTATCTGAGAGAGAGAATGGGAGACAGAGAGCATGAGAGGGGGAGGGTCAGAGGGAGAAGCAGACCCCCCGCTGAGCAGGGAGCCCGATGCGGGACTCGATCCCGGGACTCCAGGATCATGACCTGAGCCGAAGGCAGTCGCTTAACCAACTGAGCCACCCAGGCGCCCCCAAAGGCATTTCTGACTCTTCAAAATCCTCCTTTCCCACCTAGAGTCTTACCGTAAGATCTTCTCTTTCTTCCTTTAAGCCCAGTTCCTCACTAGAAATTCAATTCAACAAACATTTTTGAGCATAGATGAATAATACCAGTTTCCACCCCAAACAAACTCAAAACTGGCAGGAAAATACTTATGCAAACAAACCATTAAAACTAATAATCTTAATAGGCACCACAAGAAAACGGCCTACAAAATACAAAGAAGGGAGAGACTAACTTCATTTGGAGAGAACCAAGGAAGTCCTTTTTGAAAAAAAAAAAAAATTCTGGGCTGAGTTTTGAGGATAAATATAAGTTAGCTAGATATGTCAGGGAAGAGGGTGAGAATGGATGAGGCTATTCCAGGCAGAGTGAACAACATGTATAAAAACACAGGAGAGGTGGTGTATCCAATCTTAGACCAGTCAGCCATGGCCAGGACACAGCACAAATGTGACTGTTGACTTCCATTTCTGGCAATATGGCTAAATTAAATATTCTGAAAGTCCTCCTGCCACAACACCTAAAGATGCTACCTAGAGATAAAATATAACAAATATATTTTTAAATGCGTGGCCTCGTTTTTGACAGCTAAAATAAAATGTATTCTCTATTATATTAAATTACCAATTTTCCACAGTCCGAAAAAATACCTCCTCTACTAAATGACCCAACTGGTGATGATATATTCTGGGACAACAATAGTAACAAATATAAAAGGAGGTATTTTTTTTGGTGGGGGGAGAAGGGGAGAGATGACTCATGGTGATAAATGCTAGCTTTTAAATGCATAGCTGGGCTCACAAGAAAGTAAGGAAAGTCCTTAGGGACCCGAAACAAAGAAAGAACATAAAACCAGAGCAGTAAACATGTAATATTAAACTGAAGCAGCCACAGCTGGGAATATGGTGGGATAGAGAAAGGAGTGTCTGTTGCAGGAAATAAGTGGCTTGAGTTTTAATCCTCCATGAGGACAGAAGGGTTTGGGGCCTGTGTGAGAAAGGGAGGTGGAATTGAAATTTCCAAATAAAGCTAAGATCCTCAAAAGGCTACACTCTTTGAAGGGTGGACTTAAAAAAAAAAATCCATCCACAGGGAGGCAAGAAGGAAGTTTATCTACCTATTCCTGGCTCTGGGTGAAAAAAGTCACACACACAAAACTTTCCTAAGAATTTGTAACTACAGGACGATATTTTATGTTGATTCTGAATCCAAATCTATACCCTGTTGGGCACCTGGCTGGCTCAGTTGGTAGAGCATGCAACTCTTAACCTCAGGGTGGAGAGTTCAAGCCCCATATTGGGTGTAGGGATTACTTAAATAAATAAATAAATAAAACCACATTATAGAAAAAAAATCTATACCCTGTTGTCCAGGAATGTCCAAGATAAGGAATTGGCATTAAAAGTGGTTCTGGATTAGGGATGCCCTTGAGCTGAAACAGTGTAAAACTCCTCCTTTGGACCCATTCAGGATTCCCACAATAACTGAAAAAGTGATCTTTATAAAGAAATAATCCACAATGAGCAAAGATGAGCAAACACAGAGAACAGCAAGAATTTCAGATAACACAATTTTTCAGATGACAATTCAACTATAAAAGAGGCAGTAAGGTACAGTGGTTCAAATAGGTTCTAAAGTCAAACTGCCTGGATTCTAGTTCAAATGCTCTACTTACTATTCAGGTGATCTTGGGTAAGTTGCTTAGCTTCTCTGTGCTCCATTTCCTTATACAGGGCTGTTATGAAAATTAAATGAATTAATATAGAACAGTGCTTAGCACATAGTGTCACTGATGCATTTATTATTTATTATTTTTAAAGATTTTATTTATTTGACAGAGAGAGTGAGAGAGCACAAGCAGGGGGAGTGGCAGAGGGAGAGGAAGAAGCAGGCTCCCCACTGAGCAGAGAGCCTGATGTGGGGCTCGATCCCAGGACCCTGGGATCATGACCTGAGCTGAAGGCAGACGCTTAATCGATTGAGCCACCCAGGCACCCCACATTTACTATTAAAAATTTAAATATTACTATTTAAAATTGAAAAAGTTTACAGTGTTTCTGGGTAGCTCTGTTGGTAAAAGAAACAAGGGAATTAAAATGACATACTAGAAATATCTATTTGACACAAAAGAAAAAATTCACAAGTATGTGGAAATTAAATGATATGCTCCTATATAGCCAATGGGTCAAAGGAGAATCATGAGGGAAATCAGAAAATATTTTAAGATAAAATAAAATGAAAACATATGTACCAAGCTTTATAGGAGGCAGCTAAAGTTGTGCTTAGGGGTAAATTTATAGCTATTAACACCTATATTGAAAAAGAGGGATGATCTTAAATCAACAACCCACTCTTCTACCTTAAGAAACTAGAAAAAAGGGGTGCCTGGGTGGCTCAGTCGTTAAGCGGAGAAAACTAAACCCAGAACAAGCAGAAGGAAGGAAATAATAAAGATAACATGAAAATAGGGGTGCCTGGGTGGCTCAGATGGTTAAGCGTCTGCCTTCGGCTCAGGTCATGATCCCGGGGTCCTGGGATCGAGCCCTGAGTTGGGCTCCCTGCTCAGCAGGAAGCCTGCTTCTCCCTCTCCCACTCCCCCTGCTTGTGTTCCCTCTTTCGCTGTGTCTCTCTCTGTCAAAAAATAAATAAAATCT